TTATAATAATTAATAAATTTGATTGCTTAACTAATAATAGAGCATAAATGCTATTTGTTGTAAACAAAAATGATTTGATTAAGAAATTTAAACGGTGCACAAGCATTTAACGATGTTTTCATGAAACTAAATTGTGCTGAAACTGGTGACTATCTAAAATCTGATTGGCTATTGCACTTAATAGCCAATCAGATTTTAGATAGTCACCAGTTTCATCAGCAACTTTAATATTCACTAATTTCGAACACTGATTACGAATAATAAAAATTTTACTGATATCTAATGCTGTAATACTGTATGTATTAATTATTTACAAAAGCTTTGTTTATATTGTTTACAATAGAATTTTGAGAATGAAATATGAAAAAGAATTACTGTATTTTCACGCAATGATGCTGATCTACGAGTTATTTTGAGATAATGGCGGATCATCCGACATAAAAAGCCAGAATTACTGTATTTTCGCGCAATGGCGTCAGTCTGCGAGATAAAGGTAGATCATCTGACATAAAAGGTAGAATTACTGTATTTTCGTTTAATGAAGCCATCTGCGCGTTATTTTGACATAAAAAGCATTTATGTAAAGATACGCGTCATTTCCGAAGGTGCATAGATCACACAGAGGCCATACATAAGATTATTTTTAGATAGCACGATTTTCGAAATAATTAAGCTAAAATTATAAAATCATTTATATTGCACATAAAAATTTTAAGGTTTAATGAGACCAAATGGCGTAATAAACTTTTATTAGAATCTATTACTAACATATTTACTTATTTTACAATAAAGTACGTAAAGATCGAAATTTGATGGGTATAGGAATTAAGAAGTCACTTTATTTATGCGATATTTTATTCCAACATTTTGAATTAGTGCGTCAATGTTGTCTTAAATATTAGTTTTCGAGTATTTCTTTTTCTTCCTTTTTGTAAATTACTTTTTAGGTTTCCCAAAATCGCGAATTTTAAAAAGAAAGAAAATAATAAAGAAATTCAACATTTAATCAAAATTTATATTTAAAACTTATTGATAAGTGTTATTATAGGGCAGGCAACATGCGGTTATTAACTTGATCTACAGATTTAGCTTGGGACATTTATAACTACATGACTAAGTTATCATAAGTGTGATTACGCTAAACAACAATATTCGTTTTAATAGTTACATGGATCGAAGTCAGGTTATGTTCCGGAATTATATAAGACTACATGGAGCATTCGGAATTTATCGTTATAATTTATAATTTACACTTTTCATTAATTAATTTATTTAAAGTGAAAGCTACAATTTTTACATAAGACATAGTCAATGTAAAAATAAATTTAAATTAATAAATTGGTCCATATCAATGGAGTGTAATACATGCCAAATTTTGTCAAAAAAACAATTATTTTTCTATTAAATTATAGAAAGGTGTAAACAAAAGTGCATCTAAATGTGTATTCATCTGGACAATAATAAAAACTTAGATATATAATAAAGAAAAAAAATAACTAGGGTGATTGTGGAAGAGCCGGTGCAGAAGAACTAGGTTGATTATTAGTGTTAATACCAACAGAAGCGCCATTTTGACGTTTTCGATCAATTGATAAAAATTCCATAAAGTTAAAATCAATAGTTGCATAAAATGGTTTAGTACCACCATCTACAAAATCTAAGCCTAATTTATTTGTCAAATTATAGACAGTCTTGCCAGAAGGATCATTGAGAACTATATCATAACAATTTTTCTCTGGATCGACGAAGCCTTTTGCGAACATACCATAGACATAGGTAGTACAAGTAAAATCATTATAAGTGAAACTTATAATACCACTAAATTTATCATCCAAAAATGTGGATGTTGCAAAGACGTGATCGTAACATTTTTTCTCTTCACCACGTTTAAGCAAAGGATTAGCATTGCTTTGAGGAATACTTCTTGCGGTTGACTCTTTGATAGTAACAAAGAGGAAAATTAACATTAAAACAAAATTTATAATTTTATTATTCATCTTTTTTGTGAGCTCCCAGTGACAGGTCTTAAATGTTGATTAATGTCAAAATAAATTTTGATGAGGAAAAGTTAAAGGGAGAAGATTCTGTTTATATAAAAAATTTAATTTCATAGATTTTATATATTGTATGATTATTGTTACGGAAATATCGTTATGAAGAAAAAGCGATAATTCCGAAATCGAGTTTGAACAAAGAAAAAGGGTATACTATCATTAATAGAAAAAATCGAAGAACGTTCTTTTTACTTATATACGTACGTACGTGAGGTGCATGAAATCTAAAAAAAAATCAAGATCTTTCTATAGACAACGTATAAATAAGTAAATATTGAAGCAAGTACAGTGTTTCCTAAATTATCGACTTCAATAAAGTATTTATGGACAGTATTTGGGTTAAATATGTTTTTCTGCTTTGCAAGGTAATTGTGGTACGTTCGTAAAAGTTCTTGAACTAATTTTAGAATTTGATACTAATAATTCCAAATAAAGACTTATTGCTTTTGGTCATACAAAAAATATGAGAATCCTAGGGCGTAGGTTTGCATGAATAAATAATGAATATGCTATTGGTTTGTTTTTTTTCAGATTATCTTAAAGATTGGAGCATGTTTTAAAATTAAATATGCCTACAAATGTATGACCAAAATTAATAAATGATTTTTTCGATGACTTTACTCGTCTTAACATTTATTATTTCCTGCAAAAAAGGTTCGAATGGCTCAAAAATTACGTGTTTCTATTAAACGTAGTTTATGATCTATAGCCTGAGTTAGTAACAATCAATCATGGTGCAAGAAAATATTGGAATTTAAGGTTATCTACAAATCTGCACGTGTACGTACAATTAATAATGCATGCAAATTGCGACAAATATTTGATAGAACATGTGACCATTTAGGACTTGGTCTTTAGAGTTTCTTGAGTTAAAGTCGACTTAAAATAGTTCGTCGACTCAAAAGGCTTACTCTGATCGGACTTTTAACATCTCTAATGTTACGTACGTACGTACGTATCTCAGCTAAAGCTGCGTACTAGAAATGAGATGAAATCACAAAATGTACGATTTATATAAAATTCAATATCTGGTTGGTCGATGTGATCATGACAATCGCATACGTATTGTTAATTTTTCACATGTTACTTGCATAAACATACAGTAATTCTGTAATTCTAATGTTCTTTTTGTGATCAAATTTAAATTCTTATCGGTATATATTGATTTACAATAGTTAATAGTATATTTTTGTTATATTTTTAGGGTAGAATTTATTTTTTAGAAACCCACACCCTAGCCCTAACCCTATCACTTACTCTAACCCCCTAATTCACGCTAGAATACTATGAAATTCCAAATTCCGTTCCCATTTACAGCACTAGTAACAGAAGCGTATGTATACTGTACTAATAATTTGATTAACCGTTTTAGAAAATAATTTTGATAATTTGATTTCAATAATTTATGAAAAGTGTTAAACTGCTTATGCCTATTCTCCCGAAGCCATGACACCCATCTCCTGGTCGATTTATCGTTTAGAATTTTAATAATATTTATTTCATGCACACTTATTCATTTTTATTATGTTACTTGGTTATTTTTTAAACAAAAAAATAACTCGTTAGATTAGGTTAGGGTTTAAGGTTAATCTTAAATATAGTAAACATCACATGTTTTATATATTTGTGTACAAATAATAATCGACAATAAAAAAACAAATAATAAAATAAACAAAGAAAAACAAATATTAATAATTATATAAATGTTTTAGAGGTACATTTTTTTGGAAAAAGGTGTTTGCTAAAATTTGTTTAGGTAATAATTTTAACTCCGGTCAAAAACCCTATATTTTATTTATTGTTTTTTGCATAGGCGTTATATATATAGAATAATTTTAAAATAACATGTATTCATACATTAGTACATTCCTAAATTATCACATCTCTAACGGCAAATTTTTTTATAAAAGTCAATAATTTAAAGGAATAGCTGTTTTCAATGTTTTGCTGTTATACATTATCAGGAATGATTGTATTTTTTTATCGAGAAGAGTTCACTTAATTTGTTATATTAATTTGAAATTCATCTTTTGCGGGTATATAGTAGAGTAGACGCAAATTAGAACAGACGTGTAGAAATAATGATAGTACGTACGGTTTGTTACCTTTACTACTAACCCCAACATGAAAGGGACATTACTAGAGCTCACCCTAACCATTAAAAACGGTCACTTATAAAAATTGAATATTACAGGTTTATATTAACTGTACGTCTCATCAAAATTTAGTATAATTTTCGTAGGTCCGTCCTAATCTGTAGTTACTGGCGTGCAGTACTACTTTATTGAATACCTTCTTTTGCTGGCATGCACGCCAACGCTTATTTTGTACGCACATACGTACTTACATAGAAATTTTAAGGTCCCTACATTTTGGGGTTAATAAAGATCTATTGATCCTTGAAATATTTCGGTACGTACGTACGTACTACATAGTAAATATAGTATACGTATAGTATCTTGATACGTAACAATTCATACAAGCAGAGCAAAAGTATATTTATGTTAATTTTAACAACTACGTAGTTCTTTTCGTATGATATAATAGAATTCACGATGAAATTATTTAGTCTTTCTTATAACCTTATAATACAACATCTATTTTTATTATCCATTTGTACATTCATAATATCAACGAGATCACAGCTTACCAATTTTGTCTACAACGAAAGTATAATAGATACCGGAAGTCCTCTTTTTGTACAAAACCTACAAACTTATGATGATGGAACAATTCTTGTTCATATAACACGACGCGATCCAAAAATAAACCAAATTTGTTCAGTGAATTTAGGTGTATTGCCTACTGAAACTTTCGGTTTAGAACAGATATTACGTATAAGAGTTATTGAATTAAATGGAACTGTTAATGAAATTAATCTTGATTTAAACTTAATTACTCCAAATTATTGTGTATTACGTAAAGTTACCGGAAACATAGTGTTTCCTATTAGAATATATGCTTTACAAAAACCCTTGATTCTAGTAACATACGTGAATGCTACAAATTCTTCTGATCCTAATACTTATGAAGAGTGGGGAACTGTCATCGATTGGAATAGTATCATCCGAAGGTGTGATTGTGATTTACTTGTAAAATTTTATATTTATTTTTAAAGATTACTAATATCGATCTATCGTTATTATCTATTGTTATTATTTCATATTTTAGTAACATATATTTTGGCCCGTCTTTTGTTGATAGATCTACTAATTCCAGTCACTGGAATCCGCAAAGTGCAATTGAGTTAAACATAAATCGGAAATTAGGATTTTTTAGACTAGATTTAGTAAGAAAAGATGACCCTTTGAATCCTATGTGGTATCAATGGCAGCAATATTCAATGTAATATAAATTAATCTTTTTAACATCATTACCATTGTTATTTTAATTATTTATGATAATAACGATAATAATTATTCATTATAATTGTATAGTGATAATTATGGTCAGATATCATTATTGCAAAATGATAGTATTCCACTTAGTCAATTTAGTAATCCTTTAATTAAACTTAAAAGCTTTCAACTTGTGGCAATATCTACTATTGATGGCGGTTACGCTTTATTCTATGCTAACTCTACCGAAGAAGTTAATACCAACCAAACGTTAGCCATACGTGGCACGGTATATGTTAATTTCATATCCTATAACAAAACAGTTCAAGATAGAACGGTTCTTCTCTATGAGTTACATATAAATGTTACTTTTAATGGAATTTATTGTGACTTAGTAGCTGTTGGTTTGGGTCAAGTTTGCACATTATCTATCACCAATAACGATATATCTATCAACTCTACCAA